CCCCAAAACCCCAAAACCCCAAAACCCCAAAACCCCGTTAGAGGATATTAAGATTATTAGAGGCAAATATGAATTTGAAATTTTATTCCAAAAAATAAATTATTGATGATAGTTAGACATGTATATTCATATCGATAGTTCATATCTGCATTTTAGATTTTTATAGCATTTATTGAGTTTTTGAATTCATTCAGGAATGTAGTTGAAATCCTCTAATCTTGACTATGACTTTGCAGCTTCAAGAAATCTTGGGAACCATTGCTTCATTCTTCCTGGAAGTGCAGACATTGAGGCTGCTTATGCAATATTACTCATCATTCTACTTCCCATATTCAAGTCAGTTTGAACAACAGACTCATATAAAATTCTACCGTCCTCTAATTATTTGTATGTTTAGAAACCAGTTAATGTTAAAGCTCTTACAGCAGGAGAATCACCTTCACTTTCTTTAATTTCATCTGGTACTGAAGACATGAACACATAATAGGTGTCTTTTTCCCGTATAATGACTTTCTTTTCAAGGAAATCTCTATCACTGACAACGCTTACTGAGGAGGGTGATCTTTAGTAAACTATCATAACTGTATCATCTACAATTTCATGGATCTTAAGACAAGTAGTATCTTTAACATCCCAGACTTATCTCACATCTGTATTGCTCATTGCTCTTATCAATTAAGGAATCGAATACTCACTTGAGTCAATATAGGCCTTCAACTTTAAACCAAAGAAGTCTTAAGTTATATAGGAACCATACTATAATCATGCCATGAACATAATTTTTGAAACTTACAATTCTATATTCAATACTAAAGAGATCATTCTCCTCAACGGCTTCCCAATCGCCGATATCTTCATCCTCATTTGAACTTATTCTTTCAAATATTTTTATTATTCCAGACTTGCTCTATTGAATAATTATAACACGTATTAATGGTAATTACAAGGTCTAAATCCTTTTCATAGATATTTTTGTGTTCCTCTTTTATACCGTTTTCATAGAACTTTACTGCTTTTCCAAACATGTAAGCAGTAAGCTTATCATCCTCGTAGTCCTCATTTATTTGACGGTAGTTTACTGTGTCATCCTATTGACTTTTTGATTGCTTTTTGCTTTCCTTTATTTCCTTTAATTTGTCCTGAGCATTAATTTGCTCATGTGGTTGGATATACTTAGTGTATATCAAATCATCAATCTCAGAGATGACCTTTGAGACTGGAATGAATCCGTTCTTTAGGAGCCACATTAATACATCATCAAAAGATGATCTATTGCCGTTGTATGAGTGAACTTCCCCCTATCTACAAAAATTCATTTAAACTAAGTGATCTTTACTTTAACATCAAAATTTGAGGTAATTTAAAAGATTTGAACTTCTAGGAAAGGTTATCACTCTTGCTGACATTCACTACTCCTATTGAGACCATACTACTTAGTTTATCTATCTTTTCTTATTCCATATTCAAGAAAAGGGAAGTTTCATTTGCGTCACTATATAATAGTAAATTAGGATCGTCATCGATGGAAATTTTAAGATAGCTTACTGTTCTGAATTAATCTCCACCAGAAGTTGCTGACTATTTTTCTCCAATAATTCTTCAAAATTATTGTCATTGATATGATGCACCACTGATTTTTATTAGTTTGGTGCTTCCTTTGCCAGAATAGAATAGGTAAGGATGGCAAACAATGCTAGTTGTTTATTGAATTAATTAATCATTTTATTTATTTATTATACTATTATCGAGAGTACTCACATTCATTGTCACCTACCCTCTCTTTGGGGTTTTGGGGTTTTGGGGTTTTGGGG